GAGGCTCAGGGAAGAAGAGGGAGGATCTGTGGATCTGCATTGCCATCTAACGGCAAGGCAGAGCCTGAAGCACTGGCTGGGGCCCAGCAATGGGCTGGAACAGTAAAAACAAGGAGGAGATGGCCCTCAGGGATAGTCCCGTGCTCTAAATGCAAATCCTGCCTCTGCAGCTGAAAGGTCTCACCGATGAACACCAGTCCAGAGAAAAGGAGGGCAGCCAAAATCTTCTGGTAGAGGCTGCTGATTCCTTCTTTTCTAGGATCCTCTCCATTCTGTATTTGGCAGAAATATTAGCATTGATTCAGGGTGGCATTTGCTTTCTTCTACTGTACCCTGTTCTCCTAATGCTGGCAGTGAGGCTTCCCAAGCAGGTGTGTATTTCAGGTATCGAGTGAATTCTGCCATGCTGTTCAAAACAGTGTAAAATTCATTATCTCAGGTGTTCCAAGATCCTGCTGGGAAATGCAGGTAACTGGGATTATTAAAGAAAAGAGGTAGATTTAGCTTGGATCGAGGCACAGGAAAAGCAGATTTACTATTTTCATCACACTCAGCCCAGCGTTCATCCATGGTCAGTAATGGATATTTAATAGGAATGTATTTCAGGCTGGTACTGGCACACACACTGAGAGGGGTGGAGGGAGAACCCACAGAGCAAAAAAAATCACTGAGATGTGAGGGTTTACACATCGTGTCATTTAAGAGGAAGTGTCAGGAAAAGACAAGTTTGATATTCAGTCTAGTGCCACCTTTACTACTGATACACCATATTACATAGTTCCTACAACAGAAAATTTACAAGAGAGTAGATTGTTAGGAGATACTCATGGTAGTAAAATTTGGTAAAGGGTTGACAACAGCTTCTTTCTTCTGCTTTGAATTGTTTCTAGCCTTGATACATGCAGCTCTGTATATGAGGAGTTGGAAAGAGTGGGAAAGAGAGGAAGGAGATCTACAACCAAAGTTTGGAGCAGAGAAGGAGCTGCAGGAGAAACTGGGGGATATAAAGTGTCTGTTTTTCCCAGCTAGTGAAATGGGCCATGTTGTGGGTCTCAGCAAACTGCTGGGCTACAAAAAAGGAGTAGGGATTGACAGCACAGAAAATGTTGAGGCCTGCCAGACTTCAGGCCACAGGTCTGACCACCCCCAGTCTGCTCAGATGCCTGCTGTGACAAGCTTCCCATGCAGCCTGCTGCCAAAGGAATGAGCACACTCTCCAACAATCCAACTTCATTTCCTTCTGGTATCCTCTCATATTTACACACCGACCTTGCCAAGCTTTGCTCAGCCCAAACAATCCCTCAGAAAGAAAAGGAAAAACAAAGGAACTCTTACAGCCTGCGAAGCACCTTCCTGCCTGCCTGAAACAAACCAAAAAAAAAAGAAATGGTTTTTAGAGTGCTCTTCTTTCTCTCTTGGCTGCTCACTGTTTCCCAAGCTAATGAAAACCAGAGGCTGTGGGACTGACAGGATTATCATCACTGAATTCTCCAGGTGTTTCTCCCCAGTTCGTGAAGCAGGGAAGGGAAGAAGGGCATGTACCTGGTTGAAGGGCTGCAGAGGGTGACATGTTTCTTGATGTTCCTTTCTAAATGTGGCTCTGAGTCATGCAACAGTGTTGATTAGAAAAATTATCTTCCTGCAGTTGAAGTAGAAAGGAAAAAGATTCTTGTTTGGTGTTTGCTTCCCTAGCTCTGAATCCAAGCCTGCCTGAGCCTGTGGCAGGAAGGGGGCTGGTGAGCTGACTGGAAAACCACTTGTGCTTTTCTCATAGAAATTATGAAGAGGCTGAGAGAGCAGCCACAGGAACAGTTCAAAATGCACACCTAAGGGTACAAGCAGCTGTTGTCCCAAGGAGCAGCACGCACAGCCTTATATCAGCCTCCAATTTCACAAGTTCCTACATGTGCTGGGTCAAACAGGGCTAACACAGTCCTTCCCACTCCATTGCCCTCCCTTGTGTCTTCAAACTACACCCCAAAACTTGTTCCTGTGAGTCAGAGAGGCTGTGGCACATCCAGCCTCGTGGCATGCAGGACCACGAGGTGAAACAGCTCTGAAGGCAGGATGGCATGACTGAGGGAAAGGAGCCTTGAAGGAGCCACAAAACACAAACAGCAGAGTGTGAGCTGGACCACAGGGCTGCAGCCAGCTGAGGAAAGTCATTAAAGGTGTATCTTGTCCCCATGAAATCTGGTGAGGGTCCCAAAGATGCGTCCTGTCCCCAAGAAATCCGGCGGGGGTCCCAAAGATGCATCTTGTCCCCAGGAAATCTGGTGGGGGTCCTAAAAATGCATCTTGTCCCCAGGAAATCTGGTGGGGGTCCCAAAGATGCATCTTGTTCCCAAGAAATCTGGCAGGGGTCCCAAAGATGCATCTTGTCCCCAGGAAATCTGGCGGGGGTCCCAAAGATGCATCTTGTCCCCAGGAAATCTGGTGGGGGTCCCAAAGATGCATCTTGTCCCCACAAAATCTGGTGGGGGTCCTGCGCTCCACTGTGCCCAGCCTTGCTCAGCTCCCTGGGTTTTCACCCCAAACCCCTGAGGAGCCTCTGCTACCCCCACCAGCAAACTCCCACACAAGAGGGTGAGGAGAAGGGCACATGCCTGTGATTAACGTGGTTTATGGGGCTGCCATGTCATTTCTCAAGGTTTGGAAACACTGATAACACAGCGCTTCACCCCCACGCCTTAAACCCGCTCCAGACTGAGGTCCTATGTGATTTTACCTTCCACTGCTCAAATCACAGAATAGCTTAAAAGTCAGTGGAATTGGAGTAAAAAAAAAAAAAAAAACTGCCCAGGGGCCACCTTGCTGCAGAGGTACCTGGAAAAAACATATTTAATTTTGTGAGGTGTTCAGAGGGATTCAGGCGCACACCAAGTGCCAGCGCTGGTTTCCAAGCAAACACTGAACCTAGAGCTGTTAAAAAATCCGATTTTTATTTTTAATATTAAAACAAAAACAAACAAACAAACAGGAAGACAAAGAAAGGGTAAAACAAGCACACAAAAGAAGCAGATCCCCCGCCGCCGCTGGCGGGGCCGGGCCGGGCGGGGCAGGCCCATCCCCACAGCCCGCCGGGAGCCGCAGTCCGGGGGCGCCGCCATCTTGGCGCCGCCTCAGCACCGCCCCGAGGGCTCCCGGCAGCCATCTTGGGGCGCGGGGCGGGCTGGGTTTTCGTAAAATTAATTCGTTTTGATTTAAACAACAACAAGTCGTTGTCGCGTTTTAACCCCAGCTGGCTGCCGAGCACCAAGTAGCCACTCATTTGCTCGCCCACGAGCGGAATCAGAGAGAATCAGAAGGGTAAAAGCTGGAGAACTCCTGGGTTGAAAGAAAGTTTAATAGGGAAAACAAAGAACAGGGCCCCATCTCATGGAATGGTGACATGGGAAGACAAATCCATCACTCCAAAACTACCCCATTTGTTCCTCCTTCTCCCCATTTATGTCTTGAGTGATGTCAGATGGTCTGGAATATCCTGGCTGTGTCTCCTCCAATCTCTCAGGCACCCCCAGGCCCCTCCCCAGCTTGGTCCTGTAAGAGGCAGGAAAGGCCTTGGCTCTGTGCAAGCTCAGCAATAACAAAAGCATCACTATATTCTCAACCCTGTGTTCACAACAAATCCAAAACACAGCCCTGTACCAGCCACAGGGAAGGAAATTAACTCTATCACAGCCACAAGCATTGCGCTGGTGTCAGCTTTGTGTCTACTGTAGCATCATATTTAGCTCAATGAAGGGCATATTTTCCCTTAAAAGTCTCTCAGTGCTGTGCCAGCTGAGCCCCAGAGGATGGGGAAGCTCTGGGTCTTGTGCTGAGTGTCCTGGTGCCTTCATGGCTGGGATGCTTGGGCAGAGGGGCTGTGAGTGAGGGGCTGCGGAGAGCAGAGCACGGCAGAACTGGGCAGGGAAGGGACACCGTGGGGTCAGCAGGAACAGGATGGGGAAAGAACCAGGGTGGACATCAAGAAAAGGTTCTTCTTTCCCCAAAGGGTGGGTGGGCACTGGACATATTGCCCAGGGAACGGGCCCAAGGCTGCCAGACCTCCAGAAGTGTTTGGGCAACGCTCTCAGGCACAAGGTGGGATTGTTGGGCTATCTGTGCACAGCCAGGAGTTGGAGTCTGTGACCCATCTCAGTATATTCCATGGCTCTGTGCAGGTGCCAGGGCGGCAAAGTCAGAAAGTGCCGCCAGGCTGCCCTGGAAGGTGCCGTACATCAGAATTTCAGAACATCAGAGCAGTCAGGACAAGGCTGTGTGTGGCTCTGAGGCTCAGCAAGAGCTGCTGAAGGGATGGAATGGTTTTGGGGACGTGTTTAATCAAGCTGCAAAAGGAAGCAGAGCTCATTCTGGGGCTGTTGGATGCTCTCTCTGTCAGTGGAGATACTCCTGCTCCCCCCAGAGCCTGCTCTTCCTTTCATACAGCAGAAGGAATAATTTACAGTGCTCATCAGACTGCAACTCCAGGTGTTGTTCAGTTCCCCAAGGATTTAGTGAGGGAAATTTCAAGGACAGGCACTCAAACTCACTGAGTTTGCCTTCAGCCTGAACTTGACATCTAAATTTGAGTTCTGTTATGTGTTGTACTATCACACATTATAGCTAGTTCCTTAACACCAGTGCTTATTTTTACAGCAAAAACCTCTGCTGTCTCATATCCTGCATCTTTTTATAACTTAAATTTAGCCACCTCCTAGGCATAGATTTTTAAAAAATTATTTATTTATTTTATGTCTGGATTTATTTTGGGGTAACGTAAAGAGATCCTTCCCTTGATCAGCCTCATGCCTTTTTTCCAGGAAGGCAGGCCGTCCCCAAGATCTGCTGGGTTGGTTAATTGCTCTGCACACACAAAGGGGAGCTAATCAGCTTCTCTTCAAGCATGTGTTCATATGTCAACACTTTTGCTTCTGTCAGAAGCTTAAAAATGGAAACAGTTTTCTCTTTAAGAAAACAGGACCCAAATAAGGAGATGGAGTGGTGAAGATTCCTCTAGTGAGTCTGTTCCAGCTCATTCCTTAGAAAGGCTGTGGATGGAGCACCGGAGAAGGGGCCAATAGATCTGGGTTTTGTCCAGGGGGCTCTGGGTTTAAAGCTCTCTAAAACCACTTGTAGCTCATTTCCCCTGTGGCTTGCCTGGGTACAACTTCTTTCTCTGTCCAAGCTGTTAAAAATCTAAAATTTTAATCATAAGATTCTTTCAGTTGCGTGACAGATCCAGCCTGTCCTTGAGCAAAAATGGAAGCTATCAAGAAAAAGATGCAGATGTTGAAGTTGGACAAGGAGAATGCCATTGACAGAGCAGAGCAGGCTGAGACGGATAAGAAGGCAGCTGAGGACAAATGCAAGCAGGTAAGAGGAAATAAAACCACTGGCTTCGTGTGTGCTGTGGAAATAAGTGTAACAAAATACTGTGTGGCAATGTTCTGATTCAGAAAGCAAAATAATTTGAAGTCAGTTTTCTGTTAGTCTTCTTTTGAAGTTTTTTGCCTTTTTGTTATGCTTCCACAGCCAGGACTAGGCTGTAACTTCTCAGCCATCTCAGTCTTTCCAAAATTAACATCATCCACAGATTATTAACAGTACTTTGTCTAAGTTTTCTTGAATCTTACATAGTTCTCCTAAATTCCTCATGCTTTGATTCCATGCAAAAGGCCTTTACATATTTAAAATCAAAGCTGTAAACCCTGACACCTGTAGGACTAGTGCTAATAGAGTCGGCTGTGTCTAAACATTAATTAAGCCTCTTCTTGAAATGAATTAATAAAGTTCACTTCAAGTTTTTGGTGCAGAGAGTGCCCCTTAGAGGTACCAGCTGAGACTCAACAGGAGATAGGTTCTCTTATTTTTTGTGTCAAGAATAATGGAAAGTATCTTAATTTGAATGCTGTTCTTTTAACTGAATTGTAACGATAACATTTTCATATTCTTTTGCTTTTCAATGTCTTTATTCTGGTATCTGTCTCCTATTTGAGCTTTAGTATTTCCAGAATGATCTTGAAATGTTAGCTGAGTGCATTCAAGTTTTTACAGCACTTCTTGTCCCTTTTATATTCCCTCAATCTGCTGCATCTTCCACACTGCTCTAATGTGTTATAAGCATTCATCTGGCCTAATATTTCTTCTTCTTTAGAAAAACAAATCTTTGATCTTATTCCTCTTTTCTGAATTGTCTCAAAATTTTCAGCTTCTTTTTTAATGTGGGCACAATACTCAAATAGTTACTTTATTATTCATACACAAAGCCAGCATCTGCTTCATGCTGCTCAGTGTCCCTCTGTCAGAACACCCGAGCAAGGTTTGCAGCTCTCTCACACTCTCTGGTTATTCTCTGCAACACACCATCATTCCAGAATAGCACACTACCAAAAAACGTCTTTAAAACTATCAGTGAAACTAAAATGAAGGAAGTACACCAAAACACAAACTTGTTTTCATAGAGTAAATTTCTGTGAAAGTGGAGCTAAACGGATAAATCACTGTCTCAACAGAACTGAGCTGATTTGTGTTGCAAATGAAAGGATGGAGCAGATGGGTTTGCAGGCCCACCCTTATCAGCAGCAGGCCTCTGATAACGTGAATTCTTCAGGGAGCATGAGACAGTTTATCACTAACCAGCCTCCCAGCAGGTTATAAATAGCACAATTCTAGTGAACAATATGGATTTATATGGTATGGAGGAGTCTGAGCCTCATATCGTGTCGGGCCACAGTTGGGGAATAATCCAGGCTGGAAGGGACCTCCCGAGGTCAGCGAGTCCCACCCAGGGCAAGGCCAGCCCTGGTCCCTCCCACATCCTGAGTGCCTCATCTGGGTTGAAGTGTCCTGAAGCACACACAAAGATCATTCATTTTTTTCAGTTGTACAGAAATGGAATAGTTTCCTGAAAAATCACCAGGTAATAGTGTTACAACAAACACTAAAAGAATATAATTTAAAAACATCTATAATTATGCTGCAAAACTGCTGCATGGTGTCAAAAAAAAAAAAAAGTGAGGTGAGAAAGGGTTTATAAATTCTGAATTAAACCAGATGCTGTGTGTGTGGTGCAGGCAGTGTTGTTCAAGGATGACACGTTTTTAATGACTCTTCCCTAGCAATTGCTACCAGTCATTCTCAGATTACTGTCACCAGCAGAACTTTGATCTGGTCTTTTGTGGCTTTTTGTATGCTATAATGGGTTAAAACTAATAGTAAAGAGTAACTTTATAATATTAAACTGTAACTGATACTACATCAGTATGCTCACTTTGGGGATTTTTTCTCTTGAAAGGTAGAGGATGAGCTGGTAGCTCTGCAGAAGAAGCTGAAAGGAACTGAAGACGAACTGGATAAATACTCAGAGGCTCTTAAAGATGCCCAGGAAAAACTGGAGCAGGCTGAGAAGAAGGCCACTGATGTACGTACCCATGCCAGTAACTCTGCTCGCTGTATTTTGTACGCACTTCACTGGTTGTTTGCATTTCTGCCGGGGGATAGAAAGGCGGGATTACAGTTTTAGAAGGTGCAGGGTTTCAATCTCCTCTCCCCTCTGCTAAAGGGAGCGGGGCTGTTCTGCACCGAGCCCACTTGAGCCTCCAGGGGTACCCGGAGGGGACTCCGGGGTGTGTCCTTTGACAGAACTAAACAAAATGGTGCCTTTGGAAGGAGAACGGGACGGCAGCAGGATTATGCCGTGGCATAACGATGCCCTTTGCCTTCATCCCGGTGCCAGGGCTAAAGGCCAGTCCAGGCTCCGCGCCACACCCGCGCCGTCGTGGCAGCGGCGTGAAAACCTCGCCTTTGAGGGGGCCGGGGCCGCGGGGCAGCATCCTCCGGGCCGAACCAGGCCGAGCGGGGCAGCATCCCCCGGGCCAGGCCGAACCGGGCCAGGCCGAGCGGGGCGGGGCCGCATCCCCCAGGCCAGGCCGAACCGGGCCGAGCGGGGCGGCATCCCCCACGCCGAGTGGGGCGGGGCGGGGCGGCATCCCCCGGACCGGAACGAGCCGGGCAGCATCCCCCGGGCCGAACCGGGTCGATCCGAGCGGGGCGGCCCCGGACGCGCCCGTCCCGTTCCGTCCCGTCCCGGCCGAGCCCGCGCCGCTCCTCAGGCTACGTCACCACCTCCACCTCCAGGCGCGTGACGTCAGCGGGCCATTGAAAGGCGCGGGCCCGCCACGTGCAGCACCTCCGCGCCCAGCCCGCCGCCCGCGCCCATGGCCGCGCCGAGCTCCCTGGAAGCCGTCAAGAGGAAGATCCAGTGCCTGCAGCAACAGGCGGATGAGGCGGAGGACCGCGCGCAGGTCCTCCAGCGGGAGCTGGACCTGGAACGGGACCTGCGGGAGAAAGTGAGACCGCCCGGGCTGCCTGCTCGCCTCTCTCGGTCGCTCTCTCCCGGGCTGCTCCTTCCTTCCTGTCTCTGGCTCTCTCTCGCTGGGGCGCGCCCGGCTCTTCCCCGCTGCGGGAGGACGGCTTGGCCGCCGGCCGCCTCCATCCCTGGGCTGTCCCCGCTCCGCTCCGCACTCACCGCCCGCGCTGCCGCAGCGCCGCGCCCGCCCCGGCCCGGCCCGAGCCGCGCGGAACCGGGCGCGGCGGCCGCGGCTCCTCGCCCGCCGCTTATCGCGCTTTGGGGCCCGTTCCTGCGGAAAAGGCGCTCGAGCACCGATCGGCACTGGGGAGCGGTTGAGAGTTTAGTAGGAAATGGCTGTTTAATTAGGCAAAAGCGCTGCATGACACGGAGCGGGGAGTTCCCGCCTCTCGGCGCCGCACCGCTGGCTTCAGCACAGCTGGGAAATGTCCGAACTGCTGAAAAATAACTTTCCGTCCTGGTTTTCACAGAGAAATGCGAAAATCTCCGCTAGCGTGCGGCTCTCCCGGGGTTGGACAGCTGGTTTCACTTAGATTTGTGTGCGATCAGCCTTCCCGGCATCTTCCTGCTATTTTATCACATGTCAGCGAGTTAGTTTTACCGTATAAGGACTGCGGGCTGCTGCTGGGAGAGGTGGAGCCAGGCTCACCCCAGATTCCCAGTGGCCCCGGCTCCATAACTTTGGAATCTTGCTGAATTAAAAAGTGACTTAAAAGCGCCCTGTCTAGTGGAAGGAGTTGCTGCCACAGAACAGATGCCAGTTTTGTACATGATCGATGCCTTGTGTATAAATCGGGAAGTTAAACGCTGCACTGGGTAAAAACAGATGAAACGCTGGATAATTTATGACTAGAGGAATCCTGGGTCAGCTTCCATTTGGATCAGCCACTGAACTCCTTTCCAAGATGGCTCAGAAGTGAATGGAAACCACTTCCTCCAGCTTAGGAGTGGTCAGTGACCAAATTTGCTAAGCTGCAGAAAAACGCTTTTTTATTTTTTTTTTCCAAAGGGTTTTAACATAAAGCATAAAACAGTCACCCCTCCAGGGTCTATATTCTGTAAAAGTGAGGGGAAAAAAAGTTAATCTTGTATATGGCAATCCTCCTCAGAATGGGGGACAATACAGTGCACAATTCTGGCAGTTACTAAAGCAGGGTTCCATTTTCCTTCAAAAACAAGCAATTAAAGGAGCTGAATCTTAATAAACACATATTTATGGACACCAGTTTGTCCATGTTTTCTGTATCGAGCATTTTTCCCAGCAATCTCTTCCATTTATTAACTAGTCTATTTTTTATACACTAATGGTGTTCCAATTACTGTGCAGTTTGTTCAACAATACACAAACAGATCTTATTACTGAGAAATGCATCCTGCCTAATTCCTTAAGTACTGCAGGAAGCAAAATTAACTTATTTTAAGAATCTATCTAAATTTGTCCCCAAAAAAAGCCTGACTCTGCCATGCTGAGGCCACTGTCTGTGCCCAGCTGCCCCTGTAGATTCTCCAGCATCCAGGATGGATCAGGACCTGGCTCCAGGGTGTCACTGAAACCAAGGGCAGAGAAACCCACGGTGAAGGTTTTGGAACTAAGCCATCATGGAAACGGTTCATTTTTAAAGTTTGGATAGATGCAGCCCTGTGAAGTGCTCCAAAAATACCCCGATCCAGCAGTCCTGTAGAGTTCCTTTTTGTGTGGCAGGAATGATAAGTGCCATTAAAAAAAAGAAAGAACAAGCACACCCTCCATACCTTGACATTCCTGAGATGCCAGAGTTTAAGCAAACAAAAAGCAGAGGCAGAAGGGCCCCTGAGCTGCCCTGCAGCCCCAGGGATGCTGCTGTGGCTGTAGGGACACTGAGTGCTGTGTAACCCCCTCTGGGCATTGTTCACACAGGCTGAGGGTGAGGTGGCAGCTCTGAACAGACGCATCCAGCTCGTGGAAGAGGAGTTGGACCGTGCCCAGGAACGACTGGCCACAGCCCTGCAGAAACTGGAGGAGGCTGAGAAAGCAGCAGATGAGAGCGAGAGGTACGCTCCTATTTTTTATTTTCTGGTGTTAAATAAATGAATATATGTAAATAAAATATTCCGGTGTAATTCAGTATCTGCATGTGCTGCTGCAGCTCAGAGACTTGAAACTTTCTTACAAGCTTGATTGGGTAATTCCATTACCCTTGATAACCACTGTGGTCATAATGGGCCATTTTTAGGTTAAAAATATCAAATTCCACTTTGTGAAGTTGGGATACAAGTGCCAAAATGCTTCTAACATTAAACATGCTTTGACTTCTGCAGAGGAATGAAGGTTATTGAGAACAGAGCAATGAAAGATGAAGAGAAAATGGAAATTCAGGAAATGCAGTTGAAGGAGGCCAAGCACATTGCTGAAGAAGCCGACCGCAAGTATGAGGAGGTAAAAGGGAGAAGGAAATGGTGAAATGTGCAGGAGAGCCATGAGCAATAACAACACTGCTCTTCAGTTTAGTCCCTTGTTCAATTGGCACTGGGTGATGCTTCAACCTTGGAACCTTGCCAGCAAGGAGGAATTTTAATAGTGATTTGCAGCATCCTCAGTACCCAATGCTAAAAATACTGCAAAATCCGATTGGGCAGGGCTGTTACATCTGTGGCTGTATGCTTCAGCCCAATTTCCTCACTCCAGAGGAAGCAGGAGCAGAGTACTTCTGAGTGCCTGTGGAAATCTGTAAAGAAAGTGTCCCAGGGGATGGAAATAGATGATTTTTGAGGCCCCTCCCAACCCAAGCCATGCTGTGATTCTGTGAGCTGCACACTGACTGATAACTGGCTGTTGTCTTTTTACAGGTTGCCCGTAAACTGGTTATTCTGGAGGGTGAACTGGAAAGAGCTGAGGAGCGTGCAGAGGTGTCTGAAGTGTGAGTAACTGTTCAGAATATAGGAAATATCAACACTACATTGCATTAAAAATAATCTCCTGCTAGGCAGGCATGTAGTTATTACTCATAGAAAAGTTTATTTGCACACTATATACCTGGTTTTCTTCTTTCAGACTTAATTACTTCCTCCCTTCCTCCCTCCTCCAAATCATAACAGGAACACCAGTAATTCATACTTCTATTTTCCCTTTCTAGTAAGTGTAGTGACCTTGAAGAGGAGTTAAAGAACGTGACAAACAACCTGAAATCTTTGGAAGCTCAATCTGAAAAGGTTGGTTCTTTCAGTAAACTAAAGGATACGGGCAAAGCCAAAACTTTGTAAATAGAATTCATAGAAATAAATCAGAAATACAAAGCAAATGAGAGGTTTTACCTGCCTGCCTGTGGATACCACTCCATCAGTTCTGCCCAAACAATGCTGAAGGTCTGCAGGAGAGCATGGAAATGGTTTTTGCAGCTGTTTTAAAAGGAAGAGTGCTTATAAATAGGTCAGAGTTTTATAAACATTTATTATTGTTGCTACAACGTCCCTTCAAGAGCGTTTATTGTTTTCACAGTACTCGGAAAAAGAAGATAAATATGAAGAAGAAATCAAGATTCTCTCTGACAAGCTGAAAGAAGTAAGTTTGGCCATCCCCAAGCTGGATGCATCTTTGGGCATAATCTTTCTAGGAGCACCCAGTGATGCTATTTCACCTTTTTTAGGCTGAAACTCGTGCAGAATTTGCAGAGAGAACTGTTGCCAAACTGGAAAAGTCTATTGATGACCTGGAAGGTATGGAATGAGTCAAGTTTCTTTAAGAGTGATCAGTTTCAAATCAGATGACAAATTCTAGGAGTGGGTGATGGATTTAATGGGAAAGAACAGCAGCATATTGGTAGATGGGTGTGATGTGTCCACTGGTGGAAGTTCTCCTGAAAAAGGTTTTCTTCCATAAAGTTGGTAACAATTCCCTGATTTTGGCCAACTAACAGATGGAGGGACTCCAGGGCTCACCATACTTAATCTGCTTGCTTGAAAACAGTTATGGGATTACAAAAAGTTCACATAGGTGGAACTTCTGACCAGGCAGCTTTGTGGGTGTTTTGCTTTCCTTCTGATACTCAACTACTCTGTTTTCTTCTTTTGTTTTCCTCCCAACTGCTTTGGCTGCTGTTGCCTTTTGCCTCTCCGCTCTCCTCCTGTGGCCTCTGCTCCTCCCTGCATTTCTTGCTGGCCTGGTGCTGCTGCCCTGGTGCCTGACAGATGAGCTCTACGCTCAGAAGCTGAAGTACAAAGCCATCAGTGAGGAGCTCGACCATGCCCTCAACGACATGACCTCTTTGTGACGTGCCCCCGTGTGGGGACACGGGGAACTCCCTCTCACTGTGTTCTCTCAAGCTTTTCTTGCCTGTAATCCCTGTCACTCCTGTGCCACCTCCACCTCTGTGGGAACTGAGCTCAATAAAACATGATACCTCTACCTGTCACCTTGCAGGGTTTAATTCTGGATAGATCAGCTCAAAGTCACTGGTGATGGCACCAAAATCACATTCAGCTCCTCAGGTGGGGTTGGGCAAGACATGGGCAGGATGGGGCTGCACCTGACAATTGAACAATTGAATTTTGGTGTTCCTTTAGTCAGTGAAAAGCTTTGAGTGCATTCAGTGTCTACTGGTTAAAAACCTCCCAGTCCAAGGAGAACCCAGCAGGATGTGGCCCATAAATGACACATTAAAACACAGCCCTTTCACACTCCATGAGAAGTGTCCAAAAACCTCTCTTAAGCACAGCAATTACAAAAAATTGGCCCAGTTTTGATGATAAAGGTGTCTTAAATATGAAGGTAAGCTACCCCAGGTTTTATTTAAAGAGAAAAGGCTATGAAATAATGTGATTTCAATCTTGTGGTTTTCTTCTTTCTCACCAGAAAAACTCGCTCAAGCCAAAGAGGAGAACCTGGGCTTGCACCAGACACTGGACCAGACACTAAATGAACTGAACTGTATATGAGGGGCTCAGAGCTGCCAGCAGCCACGGGAGCCAGCCCTGGCCCTGCCCCGCTCCTCTCCTTTCTCTCTCTGTATCCTGGAAAAGCCAATTAAGTTATGACCGGCACGGCCACCCCGTGGCTCCGGGGAGCCCCGCCGGGCCGGGCCGGGCCGGGCGTGGCCGTGCCCGGGCTGTTCTCACGGTTCTTTGCTCCTCCCCTGTACCCCCGGTAGAAGCTGCACCCGAGCGGCGGCGCCGCCTCCGCTGCCGTTTCTTATTAAAGGATTTCTCACAGTACCGAGGCCTCTTGGGGGTTTTTGTGCTGATCGGGGGGTGTGACGTCACGGTGCTGGCAGGTACCGACGTGACGTCACTACATCACAGCCCGGCCCCGGAAATGACGCAGTACCGGCGGTGGAGCCGACAGCCAATCGCAGCGCTGTGTGCACTCGCGTCACAGCCGCCCGCCAATGGCGCGCCGGCTCCGTGGGCTCTCCGCCGGGCTGGACCAATGAGCGTGTGGTGGGCGGGGCCGGTGCCCACCAACATGGCGAAGACCTACGACTACCTGTTCAAGCTGCTGCTGATCGGCGACTCGGGCGTGGGCAAGACCTGCGCGCTGTTCCGCTTCTCCGAGGACGCCTTCAACGCCACCTTCATCTCCACCATCGGTGAGCGCCGCCCGCGCCGCGCCGTGCCGTGCCGTGCTGTGCCGTGCTGTGCCGTGCTGCGCCGCGCTGCGCCGTGCCGTGCCGTGCCGTGCCGTGCCGCGCCGCGCCGCGCACCGCGCGGGGATCGCCCGCGGCACCGGCACCGGCGCGGCTTCGCTGCCGTGGCGGGCCCGGTTCGCTGCTATGCGAGGCGGGTTCGCTGTTATGCGGGACTCGGTTCGCTGCCGTGGCGGGGCCCGGTTCGCTGCCGTTCCCTGGCGGGATCTCCGTGCGGGGCCGCTCCGGTCGGTGCTGGGAGCGCTGAGGACAGGACACTGAGCAGCGGAATTGAGCGCAAAGCCGCTGGGTTTGGCAAACAATCCAAATTGTTTGGAACAAATCCCCCCTTTCGGCGGGAGCTGTGGGTAAAGGAATTGGTTCTCCTTTCAGGAATCGACTTTAAAATCAGAACGATAGAGCTCGATGGCAAGAGAATCAAGCTGCAGATCTGGTAAGGCTCCTCTGCCGCTCCGTGCTGTGCGTGGGGATGTGGTCGGTTCTCATCCGCTTGTGCTGCTCGGTGGTTCATGGTATTTTAGAACCCAAAAGACAGTTTTTAGCGTTCTGAAGACTGGTTTATTTATTTATTTATTTCTGTAAGGCTCGTGGTGGCGCTAGCGGGAGCTGAGGCAGTGTTGTGTGTGTTGCAGGGACACGGCCGGGCAGGAGCGGTTCCGGACCATCACCACCGCCTACTACAGGGGAGCCATGGTAGGGGCACAGCCGGGATCCTGTGCTGGGGAAACGCAGCTGCCTCTGGAGCCCTCCCAACCTGGGGCTCTGCCAGACTCACAGCTCTGCTGCTGCTCCGGGTGCCGCTGGAGCTGTGCTGGGATGCTGGATAACAAACACCCTTTGCTTGGCTTAGAGTTGGGGTAACTGAGAGGTGTTTTAAAAACTTCAGTTTTCAGTCTCATGAGAAGGGTGAGACAATACAGATGTTATAATTCACACCATCACAATCAGAAGCCAACCATTTCCTAATCACAATACACTATGAGTGTTTCTTGGTTTATGAACTTTTTACCACACCATGTTGTAGATCCCATAAAACCAATCATCTAAAACTATTCCTTATAGGTCTCACTACAATATACCTTTCATAATTCTATTTCTCCAAAGTATCTAGTCTTATTTACAAGACCCTCTTTTGAAACTTTTTTTCTAGTTCCATTTCTCTCTCCACAATATCTGTTCTATAGTATTTCTAAGCCATTATTTCTTGTCTCAAAGTTTACACAGGGATGCACACTGTGTGTGACTCCTGTCAGGCCCTGAGAACTCTCTATAAATCCATTTCCCACACTGGGACAATCTGGGATTTTGCAGAGGCAGCTTCCCCATGTTTCACTCTATAAATACATGTCCTGCACACCTTATCTCACTGCCATTAGCTGGGAACCAGTTGTTAAAATAGCCACTGTTAAACTGCTCCTCTCTGCTATAAACTTTTAACTAATAAACAGTTTTTCTTTACCTGTAGGGCATCATGCTCGTGTATGACATCACCAATGAAAAATCTTTTGAAAATATTCGGAACTGGGTGAGGAATATTGAAGAGGTAATTTCTCTTTTTACTCATTACTGACTGTTAAAGGTGTCATTTCTTCCTCTGAAAGTAATTAAAGCTGAATTGCTTCAGGAGAGTTACATTTTGTCGTGTGCTGCAGGGTACTTGGAAGAGAAGTGGGATGGGAGTCAGTAATAGTTCTGGAATGCTTTGGCTGATGGGGATTTGTTGAGGGCTGTAGCTCCTGTATTTCTGGGGGCACCAAATGTGGCAATTTCCTGCCACAACAATTGATCCAAGAACTGCCATGGTGCAGGTGACATGCTGGGAAGAAGGGTTGGAGGGGGCTGGAAATCTGTGGAAGATTCTCAGGACTGGCATCTCTGTGTTGGGTGCTCAGTGGGTGCCTCTCCTGCCTGACAATGTGTGTCTGCAAAAGCCAAGCCCAAGTTTCTGCTCTGTGTTTGTCTCAGCACGCCTCTCCTGATGTTGAAAAAATGATCCTGGGGAACAAATGTGATGCAAATGACAAAAGACAGGTGTCTAGAGAGCAAGGGGAGAAGGTGAGTGCTGTGGTTTCCATGTGTTTTGGTTTGGGCTTTTCAGAGTGTAAAACCTGCCCTGCTGGTTGTGTGCACGTGGTGCCCCAGGGGTGTCCCTGAGTGACTGAACTGTCCCCAAGCTGCCATGGCAGTGCTTCCCCCACTGAGACCAACAGTACGACCTGTGTTAAGGATTCCTGTCAATTTTCTGACAGATGCAGTGGGACTTCTCTAAAAGGATCTAGAGTTGTTATTGTTACATGAAGAAAACATGTTTTGGCTGAAAGCCACTGAGACAAGGTGGATGGGGTTGTCTTTTCTCATCTCAGATGTTACTGAGTCGAGGAAGAGTTTTTTCTGCGCTGTGGTTGTTATGAGACTGACAAGGTATCTATGCAAGAAACAAATAAAAAAGAGCAAGTTAAAATGTGTGCAGAGTGTAAAAGAGCAGAGCAAAGCCAGTGAGAACAGATGCCAGTGGCAGTGGGATTTAGTTCCTCATTTTTGCAGATTGTTCTGTCTGTAAATGCCCAGCTCCACTGGCTGGAGGCAGCAGGGACAGATGCTGTGCCCAGGGCTGTGTTTGGAGTTGCTCCTGCAATTGTTCAACTAATGTGCAATCTGCTTTTGTTCAGCTTGCTGCAAGTTTCGGGATTAAATTCATGGAGACCAGTGCAAAAGCAAATATAAACATAGAGAATGTGAGTACTGATGCCTTTCTCCTGGATTTATTTGTTCTCTCTGTGCAGAGCAGCAGTGTGGGCAGCTGTCCATGCTGCTGGGGTGCAGAACCCACAGATGGGTTGTTCTGCACTCCCTGCAGCACAGACCCTGCCTGGGGGTGCCACTGGGGCTTTGGGGCTCACAAAGAAGGTTGTGGAGCTAGAGAAGGAGCATTAAAACCTGGAGCAAAGGGAAAAATACTGAAAACCTAATGTTCTTGTACAGCATGTCAAACTTGGGAAGGCAGCTTATTGCTGTACAAAACTGTTAGAAAATATTTTATACCCTGTAACACTGAAATGTTTGACTTGTCACAGGCATTTTTCACTCTTGCAAGAGATATCAAAGCAAAAATGGACAAGAAGTTGGTGAGTAACTTTGATTTCATCTTGGATTTAAATAGGAAAAAAAAAGCAAACCAAAAGCCACATTGCAAGAACTGTTTTCACACTGTATAAAAATGTGTCATAGTCTCTTTTATGAAGGATCCCTGAAAGTTCTACAAATTTATTTTTAGTTTTCCAAGCTGGGCTTTGATGTTGGCCATCTCTGCATTTCAGGAATTAGCTGTAATGGTTGGGGTTTTCTAAATAAAATTATCTGTTATTTGTTTTATCAAAAGTCAGTTAGGGGTAGAGCAGTTTAATGATACTTCTCACTCTTGCAGTCTGAAAATCATATAAATTGGAGATAGAGGAGGCAAACATCATACTTCAGGGTAGAAACTTCAAATGTTTAAGAAGAGGTAAAGAATGAATGGTTTTGGATAATCTTTGCATGAATATCCTGGGCAACAGTTGGGTTGTGTTTTTACAACAAATAAAAGAACAGTGATGTTGGATTGTTCCTTAAGGAATATGAAATAAAGCTAATGAAGGCTCCTCCTACTCTTACTGATATTTCCACCTTCATGTGACCAGACATGAACTGATGCCATGGGATATTTTGGGTCTTGCTGATGATTCCTAAGCCTTCCAACAAGAGCCAGCCATGCCCTGTAATTTGTTGGGTTTTAGTCTCAGCTGTCTTTGAGTTGATGGAAGCTGAGGCATAGGCACAGTGTGAGCTGGTTGAAGCCAAAAGTTCTCCAGTTTTTTGTCATGGCTGGTATAAGACTGAGATAAATGAGTGAAGCCTCTTACTGGTTGTGGGAAAGGTTCTTGTGGATGTCAGGCTTGGTTAAGAGTGACCAGATCAGTATGGATGGAAGAATCTGTTAAGGATAAATAAGTAACAGGATGTTCTTTCCATCTTCAGGAAGGCAATAGCCCTCAAGGCAGCAACCAGGGAGTCAAAATCACTCAAGAGCAGCAAAAGAAAAGCAGCTTTTTCCGATGTGTTCTTCTCTGAGGGACACGGCCTTAATCCGAGCTGGACTGTGCCTGTGCTAAGTGAGGTTTCCTCTTTCTGTGGACTTAGTGCTCCCAACATACCTTGTCACTCTGTGACCATCTGAATAAGAAATGGCTTATTTTGGTAATTGTCTGACTCTTCAATTTTGGAGATGAAACAAGTTTATTTTTGTCAGATTGCCACTGGGCATGTGTATTGTCTAGCAGAGGAAGAACAGATCACGTGTGACCTGGGATGCAGCACCATTGCTTCAGTCTTCATTTGTATCTGTCACGTACCAGTTTAGAAAGATGAGGTTGTGATCAAAATAAGAAACTCAAATGCCACTGTTAATGAAGTACAGGTGTGCATTGATGGTACATGTGCTGCACACTGAGCAGTGGCATGAGAACATCCCAGAAATGCACCCAGGTGGGCAGTGCAGGCTGATGCCTTCCCAGGAGGTACCAGGGAGCTTTCTGCAGCTCCACCTCTTTACTGCTACAGAGAAACTCCTTTATCTGCCTGTCTCTTACTCAGCTGGGTTACTCTAGACAATCCACAAGTACAATTGATGTTTTAAAAAAAATTCTCCTCAAAGGAATCTCTATTTTTTTAAGAAAAGAATGTGTGCTGTACATAGAAAGGGTCCTTACCATTGGTAATTCATCCATGTCAGACTTGACTGTGCTTAATGAAGTACTCCAGACATTCAGACATGTTTAACAGGAGCTGATGGCTACACTGAGTCCTGTCCAGATGATCTGTCATCTGTCCTTGGAGAACCAGAGTCAGGCAGGGACACTTACACAAAACCTGGCACCTTTCAATGGGTGGCTTTACCACTCTGCAGCTGGGAATGACTCCAGACCTATCATGACAGAGTTGGCAGTTTTAAATCATGACAAGGAAACATTGCACTGCTGCCAGTTGTGTGTTCCCATGCACACCTGCTCACATATGCAAATCAGTGTTGCACACCAGAACACTCTGTGAGTGAGGCTCTCTTGTGCTGGGTGTTGGTCACTGCAGCATCATTGTGCTCACAGCTTGTGCCAGAGCACACCCAGCCCTCCCAGAACAGGCTGTGTCACCATCCCACAACCCCAGGCCAGGACATTGCCATGTGTGCAAGGGCAGAGCCCAGCACAGCTCCTGTAGGGGCTGCAGGGCTGGCTCTGGGTTCCACTGACAGGAGGAGGCAGCAGGAGCATCCCTGTCCCAGGGGCTGCAGGGATGCTGTGCCTGACCAGGGAACACACCTGTCTTGTCCTGCAGCTCCCTGGAACTGAAACAGCCTTTGTTTACATTGACTACTGCACTTAAGGGTAAAATCCAAGTTGATTTTGAAGTTGTGGAATTTACTCACCAGTTTGGTTTTCTTTGAGTTTGTGGTATTGAACTCTGGGCCTCAGAGTAGTGCTAATAAGTGTTGCTGTGGTTAAATATCTGTTGGATTCACAATTAAAACTCTATAAATCTGCAGCATGCAATTGGGCCCAACAGGAATACTGCCTGTTCCAAAATGGAAAAAGATTTCACTCTGTAAGTTGCTGGTTTATAGAAATGCATTTTAGAGGCATTTAGATGATCTCTGCCCTGATTAAAGCTTTCCTCTAACCAAAACCTTATGATGGTTTGGTTCTTTGTTTACTTGTGGCTTTTAGCATGAGGACTTGATGAACATGCCCTGTAGGGGATTTATACATAGATGTAATTGTAGGATAAAACCATGTTAAGTTACTGAGGAGGCTTCTAGACAGAGTGTAGTTAACACAGACCTGTAGACTGGACAAGCAGCACCTCTGTCTTGAGCTAAGGATGTTTTTTAAAGATTTTTTGTGTGCTTCAAGTAATGATTGAGGTACAACTGGGGTGGTGATAAGACAGGCTGAATTTCCTACATAACTCTGTAACAATTTGCTTCTGGCTTAGTCATAACTGTGGATTGTCTTGCATCTGCATTGTGCTTTATCCAGCCAGATGCTGAGCCTGATTTATTTTTCAGAGTGACTGGAAAAATTGGTGTTTATCTGACTTGATTCCATGGCTCTGCCATGATGCTGGTTCTTGCCTGTGGACTGTATCAATAACTCATCCCAAGATGGGAAAACAAACCATATTCATTTACAAGTGGGTAAAACCTGAAGGATGGTATTGTGATTTTTCACTCATTTTCTAAATCTGAAGTTACTCTTGCATTTGTATGTGAATACCTTCTGTTTAAACTTATGCTGGTTGTTGCATGTGTTTATGTACCTAATTATGGCATTATTTCTTTTGAAATGGTTGGGTTTATGAACAACAACATTATTGCTTGATCTCAGGAAGTCTCATGCAGTTACTGTGACTACAGCCATCACTGTACTTCTCTACACAGACATTAAATGTGTGTAAGCAACAGGAAACCTAAAATGCAAGTGTAAGAGAGGAAAAGGCTGCACATGGGTTTAGCTGTGTGGCACTAAACACAGGCATCAAATCTAGAAGTACAGTGTGTTTCCATCACATCATTCAATTACTGTGTTTATTAAGTATGAATGTAATGGAAAATGCAATTGTCAGACAGGTACTCTGTAAATACATACTTAATCTACTTGTGTCTAAGCTTTCTTTAACTAAGCAGGAAAAATCACAAATTGGGTACAAAACCTGTAAAACTGAGGAATTGAAGTAGGTCTGCAAAACTAACCGTGCTTACTACACATTCTCAGTGTCTGAATACCACTAAAATGTCAAGTAATTGATTAACATTTGTTTTGTAGAGAAACAAACCCATTTTTGAGCATGTCCTCAAATTCCCTTATTTCAGTGAGTATCATGGAATTCTGTGGTTGACCTTATTTTTGAGGCTGGTTGCAGTACATTGCATAGTGGTCAGAGACCTGTCAGTCAGTCTGTCAATAAATGGTGGAGCTGCTTTTAACACTTATTTAACACCTGTGTTATCTTTGTCCTGTGCTGACAGGCACAGCTCATGTTTCCTGCCATCAGAACCTTCTGCCAGCTTCAGACTTCCAGCCTCAGATTTATAAATCCTATGGATTATTGTAAGTCTCTTTACTGCTGCTGAAAATTCTTTGGTCTCTCCTTTCCTGTGAGATGCTGATCATCTCCCTGATGATTGCTGAGGGGTTTTTGTGGTGGTGTGTTTGGCTGATGATCATGCTCAAAACTGCCATGATTTCTTCTTCTCTTGGACTTGCCAGGGGATTGCACAAACAGCTGTGTGAGGATGGGGAAAAATGATAACTAACATGTGTCTTCATTTCTAGCTTAACTAAAGATCTGTTCAAAGGAATGTGAGTGGTAACTGCAGTCTGAGTGTTCCAGGCTGCCTTATTCCCATCCTTACTGATCCTGAGTTTCTGTGGTTAATAAAGGTAATTAACTGGCTGGTTAACTGGTCTCTCCAGCCTTTCTGCAGGAATCATCTGCTCTACATTGAGTGTGAGTTGGGACTTATGACTTTGTTTGAAGGGAATTTAACACATCCCAAAATTTGTAAAAATTAATGTAAATTGTATTTTTCCAATGATCACTTTTGGCTGCCACCCTTCCCACATTACAACTGCTTTCTTAAACACTTCTCATTGATTTTCATGTTTGTATTAAAACAGAACTGTTGTTTATTACAGTATGTCTGTTTTTACTCTCTTGTACAGGACCCTAAGCACTGCATAAATAAACTTCTTATGAAAAGAGAATTTTACAAACTCAAGTTTTCAGTCCTATTCATCATTTGTGCACAGGGACCCTGGTGGGTGTGGAAAATAGGGGATTTCTGAAAATGGAGAAGAGGAAGAGGACCTGGGGTAGACTTTTGTCCATAAACTATGCTGACTTTTTCACTGTAAATCCTGAACTATGGGAGAATACTTTAGGAACTGATTCATTGGACCATTTATTATCAGGAGTTACTGATGTTTTTGAAACTAAAGGGATTTTTTTTACTGGTTAAGGCCTTTCTGGGTGAATTTTTAGAGGTTATAGTTTGATACAAGTTTCTTTACTTCCTGGTGGTATCTGAACTTTAAGAAAAATATTTCCCTTCTGGCTGTTCAGGCCAGGTTTGCTCTAGCTGAGGGTGGGGAGTAGACGTTTTGCTAAATTACTGGGAAATCCTGATGGAGAGCTTAATGAATTGTTCCTTTTAAAGAGAAAAATTAAAGATAGTGGTTCAGTGAACCTCTGAGTGGTTCAGTTACCAGAAGTTGTCCTCTCTGCCCCTCTCATCTTGTGCTCTCATGGCAATCTCAGGTGAAGTCATAGTTGTTGAAAGCCCCAGAAGCTCTCCCATCCCCGTGGTTGATTACATTCAGATTCGAATATGAAAGGTGCTGATAAAAAAAGGAAATCATGATCACTTATGCATCACTGTTTAAAGGATTTACTACAGTTAATTGTAGGGCTCTGTGATAAACTGGAAACTTTATTTTTGAAAGCATTTGCAAAGATGGGGTACATTAAATGAATGCAAGATTTGAGTGCTGGTTTGTGTAAGAAGCCACATTAACACCATGTTAAACACTGAGTGAGCAAATCTCATGCATTTATCAATGCAGCCTAAGTGCTAATAGTAACTTTTTAAGTTACAAGGACATTCTGTCATGTAAAAAGTGCTTTGGAAGTTCAAAAGCAAGTCAAGAAGCCCCCAGGCTTTTTCAAGCATCTCTTTTTGCAGTGTTTGCAGTGGGCAGCTCTGCTAGAACCTGCCACAGAAGAGTGGTGATCTGCAAACACTGAGGAGATACAAACACACACTTCAGAGGCTTCTGACAAGGAAACAGAGAGAATTTTGTGCTAGAAATTCAAAGCAAATATTACCTGAGGAAATCTGGAGCTCGTACAATCATATGCTGAAAGTCTGCCAGGGACAGCTTGCCATCATTGTCCACATCAGCCTCATAAATCACCTTCTCACACACGAGGCTGACTTCTTCTGGGGTCAGTTCATTTCGGGTTAATTTGTTAACAGTTTTCTCTAGGTCTGATTTGCATATGTAATCATCGTTGTTGAAGTCTGACAAAGGAGACAAAGTTAAATTAAAGTGACAAAAGTCAGCATTTTACATGGTGATTTGCCAAGACCCAATAGAAGGGCTTGGTTCCCAGGCTGTGATGGATTTTTATCAGTAGAACTCTCAAATCAGAAATTAAGTTACCTCCATGTATTTGTAAAAGAAATGAGTTGCAAAATAAATATCTCTTAACTTCTCCTTTTCATACATCAGGGTAACAACTGTAAGTAGTTTAATGGCTGAACATAGCCTAGCCATCATTAAATCAATCCAGCAAGATTGTGTTGGTCTGATACATTGTTTGTCTTTAGCTGATCATAAAGTAACTGTAAATACACATTAAAAAATCTTTATATTTGTCTTTGGAGAAAAAAAGCCTGCAGTGTGCTTCCCTACCTCCTCCTCCCAAATCCACCCTACAGATTCATGGGGACCCAAATCCCCTGTGCTGTACTTTTCCAAGCAGCCCCTCAGACAGAAACTTTTCTTAATGTTTATCAGCTCTTGCAAACTGCAGATAATTTCAAGTTGTAAATTTGGTAGTAAATCTTAATACCAAATAAATTAGAGACAAAAGGATAAAGAAAACCAGCAGTTTTTAGAGGAGGGAGAACAAACATTCAAGTGCAGTTAAATGGAACCTAGAAGTCATCATGCTGACAAAGCAAGGATTTTGCACCCCTACATGAAACTGCAGGATTTCCCCACTTACTTTTTATGCATGTCTCACTCACCATAAATTTTAAAAGCATAATAAGCCTTCAAGTCTCGGGGAGCCATTTCACTTAGCACAGAAAACATGTCCAGAAAATCATCCAAAGTCATGTTGCCATCGCCGCGCTCGGAGAACACCTCAGCGATCCGCTGCCGGAATGGGTTGTCCTGGGAAACAGCACAGGAGCAGGGCAATGTCATCCTTACCAGTGTGATAAATAGGTATGATTCGTGCTGATAAAAATTGAAACAGTAATCAATATTGATACAGTAATTAATATTTGAGAATAATAAAACAGTTAATAGCTAAAAGTTGTAATGCCAAAGCAGAGAGGGAAAGGAGGGGCTCCACCCACCCCCCCTTTCCCAGCAGATATTCTCAAAGACCACAGGAAAGAAGCTAGAGATACAGTTGCTAAAAATGACCAAGAACCTGGTTGGGTCCAAGAAAATGCTAATTATAAGAGACTTATTGCTTTGATATGAAGATGCAGTGATACGTTAGTCTTGGCTTACATTGTACTGGCTTGGTGCGCATGTGTAACCCAAAGGTGAATTAAAGGACAACGAAGAAGACTACAGAGCCTTCATCAGTGACGACCCCCAAAGACTTGTGCGACCACCAAACCGAGTGGTGGCGCATGCGTGGTAAAAGTGGTAATGAAAGCGGAGACAGAAAAGTGACGAACTGAAAACAGGAGGAGATGGCATTGACACATGGCATATAAGGGGTGACTTTCACTTGGCAAGCTTGTATGTGAAGTGGCAAAAGTCATTGAACCCTGCCCTCCGTACCCCGCGGTATCCTTTGCTTATGCGCTATTATTGGAACCAAATTATCCCTTATTTTAATCAAATTATATTGTATCCAATTTTATATTTTTCATCTTAATTATTTCATTAAAATTGTTACTACTTTTAATATTGTTTAGTTTTTTTAATGATGAGATAATTGGGCAAACATAACACCAGCATTGCTTTCACTGCAGGCAAGGCAAGTGGAGCGAGATTATTTTTATTGAAACACCTTTTTGGCAATTCCTCCCCTTTCTGCCTCTAAGTTCTTGTCTAATGCTGTGTCATAAGCAGACACAGCCACACCCAGTTTAACCTTTGTGCTGTGTTTTCTGGGAATTACTAGAAGCTTCCAGAAAGACTTTTTACTTTGATAGCCCAAATTTATTTCCGTGGCAGCCTCCCAGCAATTAGTCCTGGATGAATTATTCAGAAAGGGTAGATGAAGCTGGAATGAGTCACTCGAGTCGTGTGTGGGTACCTTGAGCTCTGGCATGCTGCTGATGAGCTCGTAGGGGAGTGTCACGGCTGGTTTGTCCGAGTAGTCAAGGGGAACGAGCTGCGGGGCCAGGTCTCGGTACCTGTGAAACAGCCTGAGACAGACAGAAAGCCTTGTTGGCTCTTGAGACTTCAGAGAACAAGCTGGTTTGCTTTTCCACCTCATTTTTCACACTTTGCGTCCATTACCAGATGGAGATCAGACACTAAGTAACTGTATGTTTTTGTTGGAACAACCATTATTAAAACAAGCGACATAGTGAAAAATACAAAGCTTCATTACAGAACTAAAATGCTTACACAGGACATGCAGCCAAACGTTTAGGAGAGGAAAACAAGTTCATGTTTTCAGTGAGGACTCTCAGTCCCACCTGATCCTGCCTTTATCAGATCCTTTGGCCAGAAATTAAATAGGGAGTTCAATGAGAAAAATGCATCTTGGAGCATTTTAATCGTTTACAAGAAAACATGAAGAAAACTTGGCACAATCAGCAAAGTATTCCAGAGAATAACAGTACACTTTGAAGCATCTGTCTGAAAACCCTGTGAGAGAACCGTGCATGTCGCTGCCACTAAGATGTAATTCATTACATTTATTTCTAATAAATAAAGAGGGACTAGTACATTAATATAAAATTTAGAATTCTGACTCAGTTTATGAAAATGAAAAAAGCCACAAAAAATGGTCAGATAGCTCCAAAGTATCACTTTAAATTTTAGTAAATCCATTTAAAAATTATTTTAAAAATACATTACCCCATATGTAACCCGCCTTTACAGCAATCTCTGCCCTTTATCCACAACATGCATACAGAAGACTGACCTCAGAATTTCTTTCCTTGTGAAAAATGTACAGTCCTATGAAATAAGAAAAAGTATAACACAAAATGACAGTTTTTAGCATGCATTGGCCTAAACTTTTCCCATGCAGAGACGTAAATAAAGTTATACTGTAGTTTATGTGTAAGCCTTAAAGATTTCTTTTTGGCATATAATTAGGCATACCTTATAACCCTTCCTTTTGCTGTAAAAACCAAACTATGTTCCTAAAATCTTTGCTGCAATTCAGTACATCTGCTTACTAATTTTTAAAAGATGTTGTTTTAAAAAACCCAGCAACACCTTTGCCATTATTCAATGTCCTGCCCAAACAGCCATTTAGTTTGCTTTATACCTGATATGCATCCAGTTGCTCTTGAGTGAAAATGGTTTGCTTGTTGCCCATTTTGAGCTGGGAATACTGACTCTTGTCAGTTCTTCCGTCAAAGGCACCTTTAAAGGTCGTCTGGATATTCAGTTATTAAAAGCTGCAACAATGAGGCTCAGGTACAGCAGAGGATCAGGTAACCAACTTCTACAGGCTGCAAAGTATCATAATAGGAGCATTTCATCAAATCTTTAGTCTGGCTGCTTGAGGCTCTTATCCAGCAGCATTCACCCGTCTCCTGTGTGCACCACGAAGACTCGGGTTACAGGATTTAGCCAAATAAGTAATAGCTGCTCATTAGTGCCCTTTAGCTGCAGGTACACCCAGCGGACCCTGCTTTTTCATGCCTTCAGATATGGGGAATTAACTGAAAAGTGTTAGTGTTTTCCTTCTTTAAAATTTAACACCAAATGATGGAAATTTGTTAGCCTCTCCTTTCCTTCTCACGTTTTATAGGGTCAGAATTATAAAGGTTGGAAAAGCCCTTTTAGATCATTAATGCAGCACTGCCAAGGTCACCACTATACCGTGTCCCCAAGTGCCACATCCACAAGTTTTCTGAACACTTCCAGGGATGGTGACTTCACCACTGTCCTAGGCAACCTGTGCCACTATTTTCCTTTAATACACACTGTTAAAAACATCCACATTTTGCAAGTCCTGCTTCGGTTCCCCTCACGAAGATAACTTCGGACTGGGCTCACTGCCGGATCCCCTCACGGAGGGGCCGGGCGGGGCTCGTTCCCGGTTCCCCTCATGGAGGGGCCGATCCGCTTCACGGAGGTGCAAGGCGGCTTATGGCTGTCTCTGTTCCCCTCATGGAGGTGCAAAGCGGCTCATGCCAGCCCCGGTCCCCCTCACGGAGGGACGGAGGGGCCGGTTTCCCTCACGGAGGTGCAAGGCGGCTCACGGCAGCCCCAGTTCCCCTCACGGAGGGGCCGGTCCCCATCACGGAGGTGCAAGGCAGCTCACGGCAGCCCCGGTGCCCCTCACGGCAGCCCCGGTTCCCCTCACGGAGCGGCCGGGCGGGGCTCGAGCGCGGCTCCCGGCTCCGGCCGCGCCGTTGCGGCGGTGCCGGCAGGGGGCGCGGGCGCGGCCGTTCCGCCATGGCGGATTACGAGGCGGTGCAGCGCGGCCCGCTGCGGCTGAAGGGCAGCGGCGGGGCCCTGGGGGCCGGCAAACGGTGAGGGGCGACGGAGGGAACCGGGGGAGAACGGGGGGCGGTGAGGAGGGATCGGGAGAACGGGGGATGAGGAGGGGACACACAGCCGCGGGGCTGAGCGCTGACCGGGCGCTCCCCGCAGGAAGAAGAAGAAGGCGAAAGACAAGGCCCAGATCCTGGAGCAGATCGTGAGCAGCAAGAAGCAGGAGGAGGAGAAGAAGCGCGGGCTGGACAAGCGGACCCCGGCGCAGGTGGCCTACGAGAAGATGCAGGAGAAGCGGGTAAGGCTTTAAAAACCCCCGTGAGCCCCGGGGTGAGGCCGCTGAGGGGGTTGCGAGTGCCTGGAGTAACCGGCCCTTCTGTGTCTCCTACAGCAAATGGAGCGGATCCTGAAGAAAGCATCGAAAACCCACAAGCAGCGAGTGGAGGTGAGCAAAACCATCCCGAGTTCCTCAGGCCAGCGTGTTTATTGTTGGGCTGAAGGAGCTGTTCCGCCTTGTCAAACGCAAGCCGGGACGCAGGGGAGGTTGTGGTTCAGCTTGGTAATGTCAGCACCCGTTTTCTGTCTCTTTTCCTCCCGCAGGATTTCAACAGGCACTTGGATACTCTGACTGAGCATTACGACATTCCCAAAGTCAGCTGGACTAAATGACCGGGCTGCTTTTCACGGCTCTGGAGCTGGAGTTGTGTTTTGTTTGTATCAAGCAGGGTTGCCATGTAAACCTGTCTTTTCTCCATATTGTCTAATACATCTTCTGAGCTTTTATGACTCTATACTGTCTTATTTTATAGACTTGTTTTTTAAAACCCAACATGCAGCAGTGTCTCCTCTGGGCTAAGGAGCTCTGGTTTACATCGATGGAGAGGGCTGGTTTTTCTTAGTATTTATAGTGAGATTAAGGCCAAAACTAATTGCTGTGAGCCAGATGGAAAACATTCCTTTATTTCTTTTGTTCTAACGGTTCTCCCTCTTTGAGGTGAAGAGTCCGACAGGCTCACATTATTTAAGTTTCTGTATTAAGTTATGTGAATTGTGTAATTACTATCTATCAAGTTCTGTCAGAGAAACTGTGAACTATGTAAAATTGTTTTACGAAATTATATTCCTTGATATTTGATCTTTGTATACTTTCAAGCCTAACCAGCAAGAAGGGAGGTTTAATCCATGGAATAGAGAGCAGCCAACAAGCTCTGAGTGATATCCAAGTTTTCATAGCTGATGTGCTGGATTTCTGGGATCCCACCGAGCATCCAGGCTTGTGCAACTCTGAAATAAATAATCAGCGTGTCTCTCGAGTGTATAATTACTGGCTTGCTGCGCACCGGGTGCTGAATCTGATTTTTGTGGAAAACAGTATGATTTCCATCTTGAGTATCAACTGTATCATTTCTATCTTGAGTATCAACGGTATCACTTCCATCTTGAGCTCTCTCAGAGGGGTCTGCTGCAACTTGTAAATTCTATTTAATTTATTAAAACGCTGCTTTCATCCCTTTTTTTGGTGCTGATATACGCATGAAACGGGGAGTGTGGAGTTTGAGTCTTACCCCTCTGAGGGATGATATGTATAATGATCGAACTCGTAAGGCGCCGCTTAAATCCGAATGAGGTTCCGAGCCCTGGCTCTCAGGGTGTGTCCGGAGCCCACCTCAGCCTGGGCGGGCCGGGACAGCCCCGGGGCCGTGCCAGCGCTACCGGGACATTCCCGGGGGAAAGCACGCCGGGACTACTTTACGAAGCCGTTCCCTCATGGTGCCCTTCCGCTCCACAGCGCGGATCGCTGCGCGCAGCCCGGGCGCGGCCGTGCCGTCACTTCCCGCGGAAGGGGAAGCGGAAGGCGGGCGGGACGCGGCCCGGCCGGGGCGATGTCGGCCAGCGCCGTCTATGTGCTGGACCTGAAGGGGAAGGTGAGGCCCGGAGCCGAGCGGGGGTTCCGCTGCCCGGGGAGGGCTGCGGGGACTGCGGGGGTTCTGCTTCCCCTGGGCGGGCACAGGGCAGTGTGGCCTGTAGCCCCTCGCCGGTAGGGCGAGGTGAGGCGGCATCCCCGGTAATTCATCTCTGCCGCTGTTGTAGCTGCTTTGCCTCAGAGGAATTGTTTTTCCTATCCTAAAATCGTTGCGAGAGTGCGAGCAGGAATAGGGGAAGGATAAGTCTGGAAAACATGACTTTGCACTTAAATGTTGGTATGCGTTCTAATCGGCAGAGTATTTCAGCATTGTGTAAATGCAGAGAGGCTCGAGGGAAGCTGGATGATTTTACAGCGGCCTTTCACACATTTGTGTGTCTTGCATGATAACGTCCTTATGGAAGAGAAAAAAGAAGGATTTGGTTGCTTTCCTTATAGGTTCTGATCTGTCGGAATTACCGTGGAGATGTGGACATGTCAGAGGTGGAACATTTTATGCCAATCCTTATGGAAAAGGAAGAAGAGGGGACGCTTTCTCCTATCCTAGCACATGGGGGAGTTCGTTTCATGTGGATTAAACACAACAACCTGTATCGTATCCTTTGTGCTGCACATGTGCTGACCATGCCAGAGGCTGCTGATTTGGGTTTTTTAATGTCAAAATGCAAGTTGGAGAATGGGTGAAGTGGTATAAAAAGCCTATATTCAGTAAAGTTGGTTATATTAAATAAGGGCTTTTTGTGCTTTACATAGTGTAAAATGCACCAGCAGCAAAAGGTCCAGAAAGTGTTTTAATTTTACTCTAATTAATGACTTCCTAAATGTTTATCTTCATATCTCCTTAGATCATATCTGCTGTTAAGTAGTTAATGCATAATTCCTCTAGGCAACTCTATTTGCCTAAAATTAAGCTTTTTAAAGTACACTTAGTAATTTTTTTTAAAATGCACATTCCTGAACATCCTTCATCAGTTGTTGCAACTTCCAAGAAAAATGCTTGTGTATCACTGGTGTTTTCATTTTTATATAAAGTAGTTCAGGTGAGTATATTTCAAAAGTAACCTTTGTGTTCTGTCTAAATAGAAATGCATAGAGCTTTCACATTTTTTAAGAACTTCAATAATAGCATTTTTATTTTATATTTGATTGTTTTGTAGAACTATCTGATAAGGGCACAGATATTTTGTAGCTGTGTAGGCAGAGGATGGGGCAGGTGCTGTAATAGTTGCACAAGAGCTGAGCACCTGGAGGAGATTGTGAATTGGTGCATGATCCAAACACAAATCCTGTATTTGGTTCATCTGTACCTGTTGAGAAAAATATTTTCTCCAGAATAAATACTTTTCATAATAGTTTCTTCTGTTTGGAAAGTATGGGGTGGGGGTTGGAACTTTACAAGATTATTATTTTAGATGCAGGAATTCCTTCTGTATGTGCTGTGCTGCCTCATTTAATGTCCTTCTTCTCCCTCCTCTTGTTGCATTTCAGGTTTTTTCTGAATACTTCAAGGAGTTGGAAGAAGAGAGCATTAGGGATAATTTTGTTATTATTTATGAGTTGTTAGATGAGCTTATGGATTTTGGTTATCCCCAAACCACTGATAGTAAAATTTTACAAGAGTAAGTATCACTCAACAGTAACAAAGGAGTGTTTTGACCCTTTTTTCATAGGCAAACAAATGTTTCAATGTGTTCTAATGATCAAAAATATTAATTTTCTTTTCTTTTTCCATGCCAATTTTTTGGGATTGTGAAGGTACATCACTCAGGAAGGCCACAAACTTGAAACTGGAGCCCCACGCCCACCTGCCACTGTTACAAATGCTGTTTCATGGAGATCAGAAGGGATAAAATACAGGAAAAATGAGGTGTTCCTGGATGTCATAGAGTCAGTTAACCTTTTGGTGGGTCCCTTGTAGTTTAATTTTGTGTGAGAATTGTAGTAGGAAGTGTTAAAAAGGACATTTTGTACAAAAACCTGCAATAGAAAGTCTGACTGTGGATAGTGTGCTGTGGCACTCAAAGCAATGGAACCATTAAGTTCCCCCAAGGAAATCCAGTACAAATAATGCTTTAATTGTGTGTATTGTTGATTTTTGATGTGTCCTTTGATCCTCCTTCTGTGCTGCTTCACATCCCTGATTTAATTCACTGTACTGCATTAATTCCTCATAAGAAACACATCCAAGAAATCCCAGGGCATGGGGATGGGGTGGGAGGTTTCTGGATGTCACAAGGTCCCCCATCAGAGATGTCTTACCTTCCTCTTCATCTTTGTTCAGGTCAGTGCCAACGGGAACGTGCTGCGGAGTGAGATAGTTGGATCCATTAAAATGAGAGTTTTCCTGTCAGGAATGCCAGAGCTGCGCCTTGGGCTGAATGACAAAGTTCTCTTTGATAACACAGGCCGTGAGTGTTATCAGAATCATCACAGGTGCTATCTGGAGTCTTAAGGTTTGGGATCACAGAATCTTGGAGGTTGGAAAAGCCCTCTAAAATCACAAGGTCCAACTGCTGAGCAGCACCACTGTGTTCAGCACTAAGCCATGTCCCCAGGTGCCACATCCACAGGGATTTGAACACTTCCAGGGCTGGTGACCCCACCAGTGCCCTGGGCAGCCTGTGCCAATGCATTGCCATCCTTTCAGTGAAGGAATTTTCCAAAAATACAGCCTAAACCTCCAGTGGCACAGCTTGAGGCCATTTCCTGTTGTGCTGTCCTGAGTTGCCTGGGAGCAGAGCCTGACCCCACCTGGCTCCATCCTCCTGTCAGGGAGTTGTGGAGAGTGAGAAGGCTCCCCTTGAACCTGCTTTGTTCCAGGCTGAGTCTCCCTGTCGCAGACATTTTTTCACAGAAATTTTTTCTTTAAGATTTGTGCATCTTCTGGCAAGCAAAGGCCCCAGAAGAAGAATGTAAACAATTGCTATCAGCTGCTGTGGAATGCAATAAGATGCACCTGTGATTAGTTCATGTTCCATGTGTACAATTAAGGGCCAATCACAAGAGCAAGCTCAGAAAAAGATTCCCTAGACACAGAACTTTGTTATAGATCCTTTTCTATTCTATTCTTAGCTTAGCAGCTCTGCAACTTCTCTCCTTATTCTTTTTAGTATAGTTATAATGTATTATATATCATATATCAGTAAATCCAGCCTTCTGATCATCAAACAAAATTCTCATCCTTCTCTCACCCCAGAAGACCTCCTCAAGTCGCTGTAATATCTCCCCAGCTCCCTCAGCTGCTCCCCAGCTCTGTTTCCTTTTCTGGACACACTCCAGCCTCAATCCTGTCCTTGTTGTGAGGGGTCCAGAACTGATCACAGGGTTTGAGGAACCTCAGCAGTGCCCAGCACTGCCCTGATCCTAGAAATTGGCTAGAAGGAAGGAATGTCAGCAGGCAGCAGCTGTGCTCTGCTGAGATTTGAGCCATGGTTTGTGTGACCTGATGTTTTCTGCTAGGTGGGAAGAGTAAATCAGTAGAACTGGAAGATGTGAAGTTCCACCAGTGCGTTCGTCTCTCTCGCTTTGAGAACGACCGGACAATCTCCTTCATCCCACCCGATGGAGAGTTTGAGCTCATGTCCTATCGCCTCAACACCCACGTGAGTCTGGATCTGCCTTTTTAAAATGAGAATGGTTTAGATTGTAGCCACAACAGCTTTCCCTTCTTTTCTTTTTTTCTCCTAAACCATGGGTTTTTGAGTCAACTGTTAATAGCAAAACTTGGTGCTCACTCCTTCTGGAGAAAGAAGGAAGTTTAGATTTCACTTAGCAATAAATCTCTGTTTCAACAGCTGTTGAAACTGTTTTGGAAATACTATGTTTTTAATCTAACTACCTAATGTCAGTGTAACAATTAATTGTGCT